TATTTAAATACACACGTGTACATATTTGAAAGAATTCAAGAAGACCCATCCTTACTGTTTGCTGTGCATTCTAACTTTACTGTTCTGTTAATTTCTAGTTCATTTATCCAAAAATGTTAATCTAAACTCACTAAATTGGCACACTCATAGGCCTTGATCTATAGTTTGAGAAAGATGAGTTTAAAACACTTTGCTATTTAGTCTCCTACAACTTTGGGAAAGAGTCAAAGGCCATGGGTATTTCTAATTATTTACATTTCTTTTGACTGGCTTTGTTTGGAACTTAATTATTTTATAGCTCTTTGAAGGCATTCTAGTAAAATTGGGATTTATCTTTGGGAGTTCATTAATTCATTGACTCACTGTGCAGATATTGGAATGACTAGCAATGTTTTTCTCTTATTCGATGTTAAGATAATTGAAAGTAATTTTTGTGAAAAATAGCAATATGAGGTCTCTAAAAGTTGCTTTTAAGCTATTTTTCTGGTAAAATTCACTATGAAAAGAGATGAAGAGCTTAGAGTACAAGTTAAGCTCTTGACTATAAATAGTCTTGCCTACTGATTTACTTGAGCATGTACTTAAAGTTTCTTTAAAAAAACCAAAAACCTTAGTGTGATGTCATATTAATAAGCTGAAATATGTTTGATCACTGTTAATAATGCTTTAAACTCAGACGAATCATAGACCATTATGTCAAATATGTTAAATGAATCCATGGACAGAGAAAAGACTTAAACACTAGTAATTTTTTCCTTTCTAAGTAAGTCTTCTCTATTCATGGATTCATTTAGCAGATATTAACATATGGTCTGTGAGGTCAGGAATTCTGCCAGTCTTGGTTTATTATATCACAATGGTCTAGTATACTGCCTGGCAAATGTTAGATGTTTATTTTTGCTTGAATTACAGGAAATTACAGGAGACTTGACATTTTGACCACAAATGCAACAATATTATATGGTTCATCACTAATAAGATGAATGAAGTGCTGGAGACACAGTGGATGTGGACATGCTCTTCTTGCTCCTGGATTTTACCACATCCTTCTCAGAGACTATTAGTACATTTGCAGAGCTTAACTGTGTGCTCCAAAATCAGACTTGAGTCCACCCAAGTCCCTTCATTTCCTAAGCGTGAGATTATGGCCAGGTCACTGCTTCTGTGTCATCTATAAAGTGATGATAACAGTGACTTACCGCAATCTGATAGGAGATTTTGCAGGCTGGTACTCTACACAGTATGTGTCACCTCTCAAACCATCAATCTTCATTCCTGTTAATATTACTAATACTACTTGGTTTGGAACGTGCCAGGTAGGTACGAGGTATAAACTTTGCTTTCTGTGAGTTGGCAGCTTGGTGAGGGAGATAGAAAAGGCAAACCGTAGGGTATGATGCTAAGTGTCTCTAGCAGTAAGAGTACTCTGGAAGTGGAGAGCAGGAATGCTGCCCCCAGAATGACTAGTAAAGCTTCCTGGGGGAAGCCAATCGGAACCCACAGCTGAGCAAGTGGGCCTGAGCCTCCTACTTCCCTCCCAACCCAGGATGGGTGGAAGGTGTGCTGCGAAGCGGAGGAGGTAGCATAAGCAAAGACCTGGGTGTGCGAGAAAATGGCCTCCGAGTAAGAGGGGCATGAGAGAGATGAAATGGTGTAGGGTTGAGTGGACTGAGTTCAAATCTTAAAGGGCCCAGCTCAAGAACCAGCAGGGGGTGACTTTAGGTTTGCAGGTGAGAAAAACCCTCCAGAAGTGGTGAGAATGGGTTGTGTTGGGATAAGATGAGGAGACCAGCTAAGAGGATAGCACAATAATGGGGAGATGAGTGCCTTGATCACGGGTGTCAGTGGAGACAGAACTTTGGGAAGCTTCACGTTAAGGGACACAAATTGTCACTTGTCACTTGCAGGGGGGCTTTGAGTACAGTATAAATTCTAAATTGTTAAGTATGCTGTGATCAATTAAGTTTACAATGAAAGGAATGGGGGATGGATGGATTACAAACCGAAGAGCAACGCACACTGAATCTTACAATAAATAGTTTTTATTGCTTGCACATAATAATACATATCCCACTCTCTGGTATTCTGTGAATATTACTGCATTGTCTTAGTTTACTTGTGATTGAAATTCCTCCCAGTGTCTAACAAAACATAAGTAATCCTGGCCTTAGAGTGGCTAAAGTTCTGGAAATGAAGGTAAGGAGTCACATGACTCAACACAACCACATCGCATAGGGAAAGTTATACTCATTACTGAGTTTTTGTAGCTAACTAGGTTAATGAAGAGCTTCTTGCATTTTCATAACCCTGAGACAACGCTGTGTTGTCAGATGTTACACTGTTTCTGGTAGATAAGACTGACCATGGTCATTTACTAAACAAATTAGTGTTTATTAGGTACTAGGTGAAAAGCAGTGGGTGAAAAGATGTTGTCCCTGCTATCACAGAACCTACCTTCTAGAAGATGGAAGGTCTTTTGATGAAGAATGGTAAAACTATTTCAAGTATGTTGTAGTGTAAGACGGTAGTGTAGGAAAACTAAGTGTGATGTACATATCGTAATTGTTTCCCCATTTAAGAGATAGTACAGGAGGAGGACTCTAGGAGTTTAGAACACGACTAAGGCTCAAGCTGTAGTAAATGTTTAATCTAGGTTAGCTATATTTTATCATAATTGATTTATTTTGCCAATCTTACTAGGTTATTACCTCGAATTTATCTCTCAAATGCCATCTACAAGCTTAGTTGGGTAGCCAGGCTACAATCACTGCATTGCCCAAAATGCAGCAGCTGCCGCCTCCTATCTGGTCTACATCTTTTGTCTCTACTAAATCTCTTCTCTACCTTGCAGCAAGACTAAAATTGAGGCTCCTAAATTAGTTTACTATTGCTGCTGTTAAAAGAAAAAAAAAAGTCCATGAACTGAGTAGCTTAAAGCAACATGAATTGATTAAACTTCTGGAAGTCAGAAGAGTCAGAAATTTGATAGAAGTTTCACTGGGCTAAAATATAAAAGTGTTGGCAGTGCTATGTTCATTCTGGAAGCTCTAGGGACAGTTGCCATTTTCTAGTTTCTGGAGGTCATTCACGATCCTGGACTTGTTGTCCTCTATCACATTGAGCACTGATTCTGTTAACTCCTCTCCTGTTTTAACTCTTCTGCTTCTTGTTCATGTGTAAGAGCTCCTGTGATTATATTAGACCTACCCAGATAGTCCAGAAGGATTCATCTCAAGATCCTTAAATCACTTCTGTGAAGTTCATCCTGTGTGTAGGGTTATACCTTCACAGGTTTGGGGAATTAGGAGGTGGTCCTCTTTTAGGGGCCTTTCTGTCCTAAAACAATTTGGGTAGGTGAGCATTTTTTTTTTTAATAGGTGTAAATGTCCTCTCCTGCGTACAGGTTTTTTATGGCTTTCTCTTATAACAGTAAAACCCATAATATGGTCTGAGAGGTTCCCACGGCCTAGCCCAGTCTGGCTCGTGCCTGGACCTTCAACCTCTTCATAGGCTCTTCTCCCCTTTGCTTACAGGATTTGATTGCCGTGGTTTCCTGGCCCTAAGGACCTTGCCATGGACTTTGCTTACACCAGCCCTTTGTACCCCTTTGCCTTTTTCCCCCTTGCCGCCACTCACCATCTGGATCCTACAGCAAATTCTGCTTCCTTAGGGAGTATCATCTTGGCCTTCCCTGTGCTGGTCACATAGTCCATTTGCTTGCAATCCTGGAGCCTGGCTTTCTTCATAGCACTTGATCACAGCTTGTATTTATTCTTTGGTGTTCTTTGATCTGTAAGCCTTGCGAAGGCAGTGTTTATTTTCATTGTGTACTCAATGCTGATCATTGATTCAGTGTGCAATAAATACTTATTAAAGGAATAGACTTAAAATGAAAAGACAGTGTGCCTATAAAGTAGCTCTTAGTGTTGTACATCTGTGTATTATTGTTGTAGCCACAGGCAGAATGAGGTTTTGGATTATGGAAAGGGTTGATTGAATAACAGAAGATTGGAGTTTAATAATTGAGTAAATCAACTGAATGTTCATATAAACGAAGTTAATTGCACTAAGTAATTTTCAGGCCCTTCCATCTCTGTAAAAATGTGCATAAGACTTGAACTATCTAACATGAACATGTAGTATCTCACAGGCTAAGCGTTCTTAAAAAGATTTTTTTTGAAGTTTTATTAAATTTTAAAGTGACCTTTATTCAGAGTTGATAGTATGGGTCAGAGGCAGTTGGCCTGGTTTGGGCCTGTTGGCTGTGGAACATAGAGTTTAATGACATTAAGCTCTGTTAGCACTGGTGTTCAAGAGAAGTCTGCCAAGATGTAATGCAGTTGCCGCTCAGTGCTGTGGACAGTGCAGAGTGATAGGTCGGGAAGTCTTGAGGAAAATGTTGTACAACAGAAAAATTGCTCAATCCTTTGTATGACTCAATAGGTTAATCCTTTAATTTTATGTTTTATTACAAAGTTTATCATTTTGAGTCTCACTTATATTTATACAATCTTAGTTTCCCTATTTAAGCTATAACGTTTCACCTTGATGTAAGCAAAGTTTGTGTTAGATAAGTGATGCAGCTTTTTTTTTTTTTTAAGCAATTCAGTGGACTTGAGAGAGAATCAGAACTTTTGGTATTCGAAACTGCTTTGAATTGCTCCTATTCTATTGAACAAAATACTTGGAAAGAATCAATTTAAAGGCCTATTACTGCACTCTTTTTTCTTAATTGATAGTCTAAATCAAACTTAGGAATCTCTATTTTATAATATCTATATAGATGAAATGTTTTATAGTCCATAGTGAAATTATGTTATTAAGTGGAGTATGAAATACTGATGATACTTTAGTAGACCTGATAAAATGCATTAAACTGATTTACTTTCAGTTCTCAATATCCCTAAGAAGTTACAGTAGTACTTACTAATTCAGTTTGTTACTAGCTTAACTTGGATAAGGCCCAGTTTATGTTAAATGTATGCACACTTTTCTTCTAGAGTATGTTGGATAAAGGACATTGTTGTAGCAGTAACAGGAGAGAACATGGAAGCAATGAAGCGTATTATTCAGAAGTACCAGCATCAGCGAATCTCCCTGGTTGAAGCTGGAGTGACCCGCCACAGGTCAATTTTCAATGGACTAAAAGCCCTGGCAGAGGACCAGCCTGACTCTAAACTCTCTAAGCCAGAAGTTGTGATAATCCATGATGCTGTGAGACCGTTTGTCGAGGAAGATGTCCTTCTTAAAGTTGTCACAGCTGCTAAGGAACATGGGGTGAGTGGTTAAATTTCCGAAAATGGATAAAAGACACAAATGTTATAGCAAATGTTAACTTGCTGGATTTTGATGAAATCATATTTAAATGTCCATTTTTCTTTTGTTTTTAATTTTTATTAATTTTTTAAAATAACATAATGTATTTGTTTCAGGGGTACAGGTCTGTGAGTCATCAGTCTTAAACAATTCACGGTGCTCACCATAGCACATACCCTCCCCAGTGTCCATCACCCAGCCACCCCATCCCTCCCACCTCCCTCCTCTCCAGCAACCCTCAGTTTGTTTCCTGAGATTAAGAGTCTCTTACTGTTTGTCTCCCTCTCTGGTTTCATCTTGTTCCCTTTTTTCTTCTCTTCCCCTATGATCCTCTGCCTTGTTTCTCAAATTCCACATATCAGTGAGATCATATGATAATTGTCTTTCTATGATTGACTTATTTTGCTTGGCATAATACCCTCTAATTCCAACCATGTCATTGTGAATGGCAAGATTTCACTTTTTGATGGCTGCATAATATTCCATTGTATATGTATACCACATCTTTATCCATTCATCTGTTGATGGTAAATGTCTGTTTGACTTAAAGACATAATGCTAAATTTTTTTAGGAAGCTTGAAGTATTCTATCATGAGACTGTACTAGAATTTATCTTTTCTTATAGTCCTTCATAACATGAGCTTTTTGGAGAAGAATGTAATACTCTCTTCAGAGTATGGCTCTGCATGTACACTGAAGAAATGAGAAGCATTGTGCACTTACCTGAAAATACCTAAGGAAACTCTCAAGTTTAGGAGGCACATGATAATAAAAAGTCTGGCTCATCACACCCGAATTGTGTTTTGACTTTTTGGGAGTGGTTTACTTTCCAGCACAAATAGCTGAATAGGATTTTCACACCGTTTAAAATAGTTTTAAGATGACGCTGAATTCTGTGTTCTAATTCACCAGAAGAACACAGGATAGCAAAAGTCCTATTATAATCTGTAGAATGTCTTTGTTTGGTTCTTGTATTACTAGATATCCTAAAAATAAGAGGTTTATAGTCTAAATTTGAGATGAAGTGAAAGTTGCTGTACACACTTGGGTATAGCATGATAGCAATAGGCTGTGGAGTGGGACATGTGTAGGCCCAGTTCTCAGGCTTTCTAGTTAGTGGTGTATGTGCAACTTGAGCAACCTCTTCGAGCCCCTTTGCCTTGTAAAAATACAGATGCTAATCCCTGTGGGTTTTTTTAGGGTTGGAAATTAGGTGTTAACTATTCAGTAGAGGGCTAAGTACTTAAAAATAAAAAGGTATTAAGATGAATTACAACATCTAGGATTGTAGACACATGGAAGGAGTCCTCTAAGCTTTCTCTGCTATGTAGGTGGTGAGTTAAAAAATACCCATCTGGAATGTTGAAAAGCAAAGCTGGCAGCATCACAATTCCGGACTTC